GATTCTCTTGACCAAGTCTTAGTTGAAGAGGCTGTGTGATTATCGTCGCTCGTGGCTGGAGGAGGTCAGGTTGTCGACTCTGAACTCGAGGTGTCTTAGAAGGAAAGGTCGCGTGTCTACAACGTCAGACACAATAAAGACTTAGGGAACTTAGTTTTATGAGAGGGAATGCATCGACTTCGGTGGCCTAACCGACTCGCTCCTTTCCTGTCCTGATCTCATGGCGGTTGAGAAAATTTGAGCTTAAATTTATAAAGAGAAATACACTTACTTTTCGAGAAAAAATGAAGCATTTTATCAAAAGGAATTAACTAATAGTTGTATTTCACTCGTCAGGCATAAGGTGTCTTGGCCTTTGGTGCTGCAGGGATATGAGAAGTATTCATACCCGACCGTATATGAAGAGAAAAATAAGTGCTTAAAGAATGTGCCAATGCTCTTACAATCGAGCGAGATCGGTGCTTGGAAGAGCTTCAAGGAGTTTCTAGCCTGATTTTTGACATATGGTCTATTGTGGAACCTTTTGAGCACCCCGAAACACTGGTTGATAAAAATGCATTGACTTGTCCATGCCATAAGGGTGACAAACAAGCCTTTAGTCCTCGTCCAGTTGACACTGACCAAGTCTCCGCTCTTGGTGAGGTATACAAGGTGTAAATTTCTTATCGGAAGGAGATAAATGATTTGGAGGAATCTTTGAGAAAGGCTCTAGAAGGTTGAAAGAAGACTGAGGACGGTTTTCACGAGATATGTATCGAGAATGATTCTTTAGCTAAGAAGCACGCGAAGGATTCTAAGGAAGGTTACTTTGTTGTGCGTGTGTCTTTTGAGAACACATTGCAACACGTGAGACATTTTTATCCTACGGTGCATATTTTGTGAGAGCTAGTTTTCCCTGACCAGGAAATAATGAACGGTGTGGCGATCCATGTTATGGACGAGTCAAATATGTTTGTCCTTTTTTTACATCTGACGTGCTTGTACTCGATCTATCTTTAATGAATAAGTAAAATTTATTGTTTTTTTACTGGCAATGTGTATTTTCTTTTCTATTACTTACCATTATTTTTATCTGTTTTACAACATTGCTTTAAGTTTTGAGTTCATTTCTCTTGGAGATAGCTTATTCTCTGAGGCCATGCTCAAAGTTTTGTTGGATGTCTTTAGGGATCATGCCCTACCAAGGTTCAATGCTTATTCCCTTCCCATATGTGAGAACCTAATCCAAGGTCAACATAATGATGAGTCACCTCTGCCCATGGAGCGGCTAGCTGCCAAGAGGGGGTGAACCTGTAATTGAAACTTTGTGGTTCATTTTCTTTCTTTATGCAATGGATATGTGGAGCTTTTATTGGTTTGGTCGTACTTCAGTGACATTATTGACATCACCATGAGTCATTTGGGATGGGGCTTTAATGTCTTTAGTCGTATGGTGATGGAATTTGTGATAACACCTCTAGAACGTTGCTACCTTTTACGATTACATTGAAACAAGAGTTTGGTGAAGATTTATTTATTCTCTGCTAGAAGAAAATCATGCATCGCCATAAGTTATTCTTATTTAGCTTTAACTTTTCAAAGAGGTCCAAGTACATGATATCTCAAAAGCTTCAGCCATTAATGAGGATTTGAGAGACATTAAAATTGGTGTTGGTAGCTAGTATTACTAGAGGAGAGATCTTGTTCGGGATCCCTTATACATTTTAACTATCACAAAAACCAAGGACATGTCTTTCCGTTTCCTCAGTCGAAGCTTTCCATTCTTTCTTTCTCACGAACATCAACTTGACGATTTTTCTCTTCATTGTCCCATTGCAGCTTTTTTTCCTCATAAGAACTCTAATAATGGATGCAATGTGTTAAAGTTTTCCTTTTTGATCTTCCTCGTCTTCACTATTACTGTCTTTCCCCCTCCGGGCTAAAACGACAACCTTTATATCTTTCTTGGGGAATAATTGTTCGTGGCGAGGGGAACGTTTATTCTTAAGCAAATCCTCAAAGCTCCTACACTATATTTTATGATCCTGGCCTCCTTTCCTATCACCATCTCAATTGTACTCAGTAAATGGTCCCTTATTAATAAACTCTTTTATTGTATCCTTCAGATAGACACAATCATTCATGTTGTGGCCGTGACTCTTGCAGAAACAACAATATTTTGACTTGTGAGTCCTGAATGAATTTATGACCCGGTAAGGGTCCTTGATCTCGGTTTCCTTGAACTTAGTGTTTGCTTACTCCCTCTAAATTTTCTCCCTTGAAGTGTTGAGGGGAGTATAGGCATTGAATATGGATCGGGATCCATGATCCTTGTCTTATTAACAGTAATTGTTATCCTTTTTTTGATGTTCGGTCGTGTTTGGGGTTTTTCGCTTCGAACCCTTTCTCCTTCTCGACCAATGAGCTCTTCTTCCTAGTTGATATAAGGATAAACCCTATTCAGAAAAACACTTAGAATTTGTTTGAGAGTTTGGAAAGGAGGGGAAATGTGAGCTTAAAAAAAACGATTAAAAAAATAGAGAATCGTTAGCATTTTTTGCAAAAAAGATTTTGTATAGAATGATAAAATAATGGTTATTTTAAGTTATGTGTTGGCTGAATTTTTGCTAATACATGTTGTTGCAGCTATATATGTTGTGCAAGATTTCTTGACGTGTGGGTCAAACATCTCTGCAGGTTATTTATTCAGGGTGTGCAGGATTCAAGTACAAGATGTCAAGACTGATGTTCTAACATGTTATTACAGAACTGGGCAACATTCTATTCAGAATGTTGTGGTTTGTGTAGTTACTATTTTTTTTAGCAATTTTTGTGCTATACTAGTGGTAGTTACTATTTAAGCTCTTTGGAATACCCTGATCATAGCCACGGTGGCGTGGTTTACTTAATAGGGTTTTAGTTTTGTTTTGTGTTTTTGTTATTTGTGAGTAATTCATTCATCACTTAGATGCTTGAACTGACTGAGTTTATTGAGTTGTAATTGTGAATCATTCATGAGCTTTTAAGCAAGAGTGAGTTATGTATCTTTGGAAGTGTGTCTTTTATTGTTCATTGTTATAAGTCCTATAACTATTGTGTGATTGAAGGGAAGTGAAAGGGGTCTCATCTAGGAGAATCTTAGATTGCACGGATAGAGATTAGGTGAGAAGATTGTAAACCAGAGATTGTTTGCTTATAATCTTCAAACTAATTATATTTTAGTGAATTTCCTTCCTGGCTAGGTAGCCCCCAGATGTAGGTGAGTTGCACCGAACTGGGTTAACAATTGCTTGTGTTTTTTTACTGTCTTCCTACTGTGTTTATTACCTTGTTCTTAAGTTGATAGCAGTTCAGATATTAGTGTTATAACATCTTCTTCGACATCTCATATCTGATACTAGAATTTTAGTTATCATTAACATATTTTTAATTTTCAAATCATTATAACAACGTAAAATTATATTTGAACAATTTGCCTAAGTCCTCAAAAACTCTACTCCAATACAATTTTTTAGTTTCCGTAAATTAAGGGGATTTTGACTTTTGAATAAAAATAAATCCCCCAAACCATCCTCACCTAAATCCTTATATTATATTCACTCAATCCTTCCCTTTTTTTAAAGTCGTCCTCTCCATTTCCCTCAAGACTCCCAAACAGAGCCTTGGGCTACAAGCTCACGTGAGCCCCAACTTTACCTATAACATGCAATCCGATCTCAATCCCTTCTTAAACATCCAACACTTTAGTGTGTCATATGTGCCCTCACTGTTACTGCCCCTTTTGTGAAGCAGGCAATGAACTCGCGCATGATTTCCTTCTTTTGTTGAGTGACCTTGTTGAATACGACCATAATTGTGAATTGGTGCTTTCAAGCACTGAATTGGGCAGTGAATGTGTCGCAAAGGTCCTTTAACGAGTCTATGCTCCCATATAGGAGGGTCTTAAACCACGCCATCGTGGCTCCGATCAGAGTATTCCAAAGAGCTTGTACTTCACCACCCAAGTGGTAGTAATCCCGCATGTTGTCTACATGCTTAACACGTTTGTCGGGATCCTTGGTTTTGTCATAGTTCTGTAGCTTTGGCGGTTTCTCCAAAGACAGGGGGTTTCTTTTTCGCTACGGAGTCGTAGCATCTTCATCGTACATTTCTCTTCTTCAGAGAAGACTCATTCGTGAATATCGGGAGGCAGTGAATCTCAGAAGAAGTATGGCTACCACTCTCCCTTTTAAAATCGGGTGTGAGAGTTCTTTGTCTTCGACGCCAGTTACGAGTTGGTGATCTCTTCTTATGGTGAAGTTATGACAATGAAGACCAACTCAAACACAACCAAATTAAGTTTAACTACGATTAGTCGTGAAAAAATTAATTTTTTTTAGAAAATCTATTAGGTATGTTTCAAAAATCATTCAATTTTTTAAATATAAATTTATGCATTTTAAAATGTCAAATAAAAATACATTATGAGATTTTATTGCATAAATAACAAATTTTAAAAGTTAAAATACCTAATCTAAGTTAAAATGATATTTCCGTTATTTTAAAGTTTATGCAAGGAAGAAGGAGATAAATTATTAATTAAATTTAATAATAATTTTTAGATAAACACTCTCATATTTTTTAATTTAGTTGAATATTCATACTCTCGCATAATGGAACAATTACAATCGATATCATATCACTTTTATATATTTTATTTAAAAATAAATTAATATTTTAAATCAAAAGTTTCAATATCAACTATAGTTACCAAAGAATTTGCCTATTTTTAATACTTTTATATGTTTAATAATTTAATAAAACTCTCATCCATAAAATACACCAAAACTTTAAATTCATCAGTTAAATTATATTGGAATAATTCAAATTTTGAAAAATGTTAAATTTGTAATTATTACACCATGTTCTCTTGGATTTAACATGAATATCTTTGGACCTAAAGCCAAAGAGTCCTTTATTGGTAGCAAAGTTCCGATTTTGAAATTTGTTGAAAGAGTTCCACTCGAATCGTTGTTCAAATCATGGTGAGTTCCCCTCTCTCAATTTTCCTCTTATGCTTTCTCTCACGCAAATCCCCTTTTTCAATTTTCTAGCAATTAGGGTTTCCAAAATCTAAGATGAGTAATTAGTAATTTCCATTTTGAACTTTTTCGTTGCTTGATTAGGGATCTTCTGCGGAATCAATGTATTATAGTCTTTTGCTTTGAATTGAATTGAATGGTTATGTGCTATTTTGTTGAACTTTTGATCATCGTATGATTCATTTCTTCTTGTTTGATGACAGGATGGACATGATTCAGAAGATCCAAAACAAGGCACTGCTGATATGACTGTTTTTGTAAGTTTTCAATCATCTTAAAGACTAATGCTTTTTGTTCTATGATTGTATTTGCATCTGTTTATATCAATGAATGCTAGTAATTTAGATTGGACGCCACCGCGATTTCGGATCGTTCCTATTCTAAGTCATTGTGGAAAGCTTGTTTAAGCCATGTCTTCTTATATTTTGTAGCAACCTTTGTAGCATATTGGAAATTTGAACTAATCAATAATGTTCTGTGATACACTATTTAGTAATTAGTACAAAGTATTATTGTCATGTCAAGTAGAGCAGTATTAGCTACGCTATTGTACTATAGTGTAGCGGATTTGAATAAACTGTTATTTCCATGATCTGCGATTGTCAACACTGATTTTATCTCTAGCTTATATTTTTGAGCCATTTCTCACTGGTTGGCCCAAAGTCCGTGGTTGGAGTAGGAGTATGCTAATTGATGTTCCTGCTCTATTACTGGAGGATATGTTTTAATTAGAAGATTAAATTGTTTTTTTTTTTGTGTGTGTATGTCAACTACATTTAACCTTTGTCTCCATTCTCTTTTTTCAGGTGCAAAATCTTCTTCAGCAGATGGTGAGTTGGATATGTTCATTGAGCTGCATTACTTAATTTGAATATGTAATTAACTGCGGCTAACAAGAATTTTGTTTCCAGCAAACTAGGTTCCAGACAATGTCCGACTCCATCATTTCAAAGAATATCCTTTTCAGCACTCTTCAAGTTGATAATATGATTAAGTAATCCATTATTATTAAATAGAAATCTGCTAACGAAACTAATTTTGGAAATGGTAATGCATGATATTGATCTAGCTTTTTCCCCATAAATGTTGTCATTCAAATAAGTAAAATCACAAAAGATCTAAAGTTTCTTAATATCACCAACCTGTACTATTGCATAACTCAAACCTATATCATGAGGATATATACTTACACAACAGCACCGGTCGCAAATTATTTGTGCCCACTGTTGCATCTTGAACTTTTTCTTTTTAGATTCAGTACATACACCATACCGTTTTGTTGTGCATGATTTGTGACCGATGACTTGTCTATGGGATTTGTTTGTATATATTGTATATTAGCTAAAATCAGGATGAGTAGTGATGCCAGTTCTATTATATATGAGTTTTGCTGAGTTTCCTTTTGTTTAAATTGTTAAGAGAATATTCTCCTTGACTTCATTGCACTTGATGATATGGGAGGCCGTATAAATGAGTTGGAGCAAAGCATCAATGACCTAAGAGCAGAGATGGGAGTGGAGAGCTCTCCATCACCCGTGGCCCCTGCTAAGCCAGAGGAAGAAGAGTCAAACAAAGAAGGTTCAGCATAAGTAGCATGCAACTACCTTATTTATTGTCTCATGATACATCAGGATTTTATCCCTGTATCTTGTGAGTATAGAATTGTTCAAAATTCAGATACTTGTCATGGAACATGAGTGCACTCTCGTTTGTTGCTAAAGTTAAATCTTTCTGTTAAATTATAGTACTGCTGAAAATTTTTATTTTTCTGATTTGAGATGAGTTAGACTGGTTCTTATTGATGATGGAAAATTTGTTATATTATTATTTTTGTTCCCTCCCTGCCCGTTTTATTTGCACGCTCTTGCTTTTTAATAATTTGTTTTAGATATCACAAACATGGCAATTCTTGTCCCTAAATCCAATGCCCCTATCATGGGTACTGCATTCAAAATATTATGAACCATGGTTACACGAATGTAGTTCCTGGAAAAAATAATGATTTGTTTTTTGTGGCTTTCAATTTCAAATCTACTATCCACATGCTGGGGCAAGTTAGTCAATAGCCTAACTTGTTTACACACTAACCCAGTTAAACAACTCCATTACATTTAGCTGTTATAGTGTTTCGAGAAGATTGGCGCACATTTCAACGTGGCCTGCAATCTCATGGAGCAGGATCCAATATTGGGAGTAGGGTTTCTTTCCAATACAGAAAAGATGGAGAGCTCCACCACAGTTTGAGTTTAAAGAAGTGGTTCAAGAGATAAAAGATCAGACTTGCATTAAGTTAGTACACCAGAAACTGATTTCTTTTTCACGTAATCGAGCTTCTGTAAGTAGCAAGAGGAGTCAGAGTTGGAGAATATCATTGTTTCGATTCCAGTTTTATATGCGAACAAGTAGTTGAGAGAAGATAGTCCATTTACAAGATCAACAATTCGAGGTTTAAGTTAAGATTACATAAACTTTTGGAAATCAAGGGAGGAAACAAACACCATAAACATAAGAGGTAAAACATACACAACCTGAAATCATCATACTATATAGGAATCATAGTAAGAAAGTTAAGCTTCTTCTAAGAGCTGTTAAGGCAACGGGTGATGGTGGCTGCTCTAAGAACTATTACGGCAACGGGTGATGGTGGCGCAGCCGCGGGTGTAAGGATTAGCTTCTGCACCTGGCTTGCAGTTGTAATAGGATGCACCCTTATGAGAGCATGGCACGGTGTTTCTCTGCAGTGCTCTGTAGCTTATATACTTTGTGGTTGCTAGGATACGCCGGTGAGACTCAATATCCATTCCGAACTCATTTTCTTCTATGCACTCTTCTATGGAGCCTTGGCATGTTGGTGTTGTCGTCGTCGCCTCCCACCTTAGACGGTGCTCGTCTGTTGCACTGCTTGTGGTGGTGGCAAAGATGGATATGGAAACCATAAACAAGTAGAAAGCTGGTAGGAGAAAAGAAGCATTTGACATTGTTTTTGTGGAGATGGTGGTGAATGGTGAAGGTGCTCTTATTCTTTATGCTTTCAAGTCTTCATTCATTTTAATTCCACCATTTTATAGAAGAAGTTAACTAGGAGTGAGAGTGGGTAAGTAACTTGTTTATCAAGTATTAGATAACAAAAATCAACAAATGGAGAAAGTTGATACTCCACATAGGTAGATTTACAAGTTCAAATGTGCTATAATTACTGAGAAGAATGTTTGGTAAAAGACAAGAGTACAAAACCTACCGAGAAAATGATGTTGAGATTGAAGGGGCATGGATGATACTAGGTTCGAATTCAAAGCATTAACTGAAAGTTGATAATGAAAGTTTAATATGTATGAGCTACTCAAATGTCTAATTCAACATTGTATTTGTCAGAGCCCTTAAAAAACTTGATGTTGGGTTTGAATTCATGTTGTCCACTAAGAGTGTTTTTTTATCCCTAAGATTCCATTGGCCAATTGACATTGAGAACCAGCTTCTGGAAGGAGTAGCTTGTGGCTCGTGCTTATCCAAATCAAGTTTCTTCAGAGGGAAAATTAACACAACAACATAGAGCAAACATTAATATTATAGCTTGAATGTTTAAGGTTTAATTACTTTTTAAAAATCATTTGGATAATCCAAGGGAATATCATAATCATGATTCTGTTGGTACAAAGATAGAATAAATGATGAAATAGGGAAATATTCTATTAAAGAGAATGACGACAGAAGAAACAGGATTAAGAGTTACAATGATTGTCACCCTATTTATAGGCTAAAACTAGGGTTACTAGAATAAGATAAAATACTGAAATGCCCTCTAACAAACTTATGGGCTTAAGAAAATAATATAATAAAATATGAATTATTACTAATACCATCCCTTAATTCATATTCCATCAAAACTTGTAACACCAATTCCATCCCTTAATCTGAGAAATTGATCAGTCTTGATAGCTTTCGTCAGAACATCTGCCAACTGCTTCTGAGTGCTGCAGTGTACAACTTCTAACACTCCACTCTGAACTTGATGTCTCAGAAAATGATACTTGGTCTCAATATGCTTGCTTCTCCCATGCAGCACTGAGTTTCTGGCAAGGTTGATTGCAGACTTGTTGTCAATCATCAACTTCAGAGGTTTGTCTACCTTAATCTTCAGATCCTGCAACAGATTCAGAATCCACACAGCTTGGCATGCAGTAACAGCACCTGCAATGTATTCAGCTTCACAGGTTGACAACGCCACAACAGGTTGCTTCTTGGAACACCAAGAAATGGGACCTCCCAGAAATTTGAACAAGTACCCAGATGTACTTCTTCTGTCAACTCTGTCTCCACACCAATCCGAGTCTGAATAACTCAGAAGTTCTGACTCATTATTTCCTCCAGAGGGAAATAACACTCCATACTTCAGAGTTCCTTTGATATACCTCAGAATCCTGACAGCAGCTTGGTAATGGGACCACTTAGGTTTACTCATGAACCTACTAACCATCCCAACTGAGTAGCAAATATCAGGTCTGGTATTGCACAGATACCTCAGGAACCAACCAACTGTTTGAAGGTTGTAGCATCCACATCCTTTCCTTCAGAGTCTGAATCCAGTTTCTGATTTGTATCAGAAGGTGTGACAGCCATCTTACAATTCTTCAGATCAAATCTCTTCAGAAGTTCTAATTCATACTTGAGCTGATGCAAAATGATACCTTTCTCAGAATATCTGAACTCCATCCCTAGAAAGTATGTCATTTTGCCTAGATCAGTCATTTCAAATTCATTCATTAGAACCTTCTTGAACTTGGCTATCTCCTGTTCAGAACTTCCAGTCAATAGTATATCATCAACATATAAACATACCAGAGTCATATTGCCTTCAGAAGTATGCTGAACATAGACACCGTACTCCATCTCACATTTCTGAAAGCCTTGCTTCTTGAAAAATGAATCAATCTTCTGATTCCAAGCTCTGGGCGCTTGTTTCAATCCATATAGAGCTTTGTATAATCTGTACACCATCCCTTCCTGATTCTTTTTCACAAATCCAGGAGGTTGTGACACGTAAACTTCTTCTTCTAATGGACCATTCAGAAATGCAGATTTTACATCTAAATGCATCAGAGGCCAATCCCTGTTAGCAGCTATTGCAATCACCATTCTGATTGTTTCATGTCTTGCTACAGGTGCAAACACTTCAGAATAATCCAGCCCAGGTTTCTGTAGAAATCCTCTGGCTACCAACCTTGCTTTATGTTTGCCAATTGAGCCATCTGGCTTTAACTTCTGCTTGAAAACCCATCTGACGCTGATGGCTTTCTTGTCTTTTGGAAGTTCTGTCAGCTTCCAAGTCTTGTTTCTCTCTATAGCATCAAGTTCTTCTTTCATGGCCTTCAGCCAGAGCTTCTGCTTAAGAGCCTCCTCTGTACTTATAGGTTCAAAGTCTACTAACATGGCACACTGAATAACTTCTCCTTCAGAGTCTACTTCAGTGTCTTGCAGCATGTCAAATTCTGCAAATCTTCTGGGAACGCTTCTGATTCTTTGTGGTCTCTGAACTTGTTCAGAGTCTTGAGCTTCAGAGTTTCTAGCTTCAGATGATTGACCTCCAGAGCTTTGACCATCTTCAGAGTCTGGCATATTTCCAGAGTCTGAATTGCCACCAAGATCTGGATTGCCATCAGAGTCTGAATCATCAGAGTCTGGGTCATCTGGGTCACCTTCATCTTCTGAGTCTTCTTCAGAGTTTGAATCAGTATCAGAGTCAGAGTCAATATCAGGGTTTACTTCAACTTCAGAAATTCTTAACTCTGGCCTATCTTCAGAGGTTCTAACATCAGAATCAGATTGAGACTTATCCCAATTCCAAACTTCTGATTCCTTCACAATCACATCTCTGCTGAATTCAATTTTATTGGTTTCTGGACAATATAGCTTGTATGCACCTGTACTGTGGTACCCTATCAGAATCATCACTTTGCTTCTATCATCCAGCTTCTGTCTTCTGGCTTCTGGAACATGTTTATAGCAAACAGAACCAAATACCTTCAGATGACTAACACTTTGCTTGTCTCCAGTCCACTTCTGCATAGGAACTATTTCCTTCAACTTCTTCGTAGGACATCTGTTGAGTACATACGTTGCAGTGGCAACAGCTTCTCCCCAGAGCTTCTGAGGAAGCTTCTTCTCCTTTAGCATGCTTCTCACCATATCAAGCAAAGTACGGTTTCTTCTTTCAGCAAGACCATTGTGTTGAGGGGTATAAGGAGCAGTAACCTCATGCTCAATTCCATTCTCCTCACAGAACTTCTGGAACTCTTTGGAGTTATACTCACCTCCACCATCAGTTCTAAGAATCTTCAACTTCTGACCACTCTGATTCTCAGCCTTCATTCTGAACTTCTTGAATTCATCAAACACCTCATGTTTAAATTTAATAAGGGATACCCACGTCATTCTTGTGAATTCATCAACAAACAACACAAAGTACTTATTCCCTCCAATTGATGCTACTGGAAATGGACCACACACATCAGAATGTACAACTCCCAAGGCATGTTTTGCTCTTGGAGCAACTTCTGATGCAAATGGCAATCTTGGTTGTTTTCCTTCCATGCAAACTTTGCATGACTTTTCAGGCTTCTTAATTGCAGGAATTCCATGTACCAATTTCTTTGAATTCAGATGTTGTAAGCTTCTGAAATTCAAATGACCAAATCTTCTGTGCCACAACTCACTCTCCTTCTCAGTACTTGTTGCACTAAGACACTCTGAGTCTGCAGTTCTGACATTCACCTTGAATGTTCTATTCCTTCCCTGTTCTGACTCCATAATCAACTTCTGATTACAGTCATACAGCTTCAGAAGATTGTCCTTCATGGTAACTGAGAAACCTTTCTCAATTAATTGTCCCACACTCATCAGATTGCTTCTGATGCCAGGTACATACCACACATTCTGAATCAATGCTATTTTCCCATTGTTCAGAGTCACTCTGACATTTCCCATACCTTCTGCATTAAGATATTTGTCATCAGCACATCTGATCTTTGTTCTCTTTTCAGAATTAAAGTCAACCAGCCATTTCTTGTTTCCAGTAAGATGATTTGAACAGCCAGTGTCCATATACCACCAGTCTGTCAGATCATCAGATTCAGAGGCCATCAATAGCACAGATTCGTCATCAGAACTTCTGGCTATATTTGCTTCTTCTGATTTCTTCTCCTTGTTTGACCAACAATCTCTAGCAAAGTGACCAAACTTCTTACAACAGTAACATTGGATCTTCTTCTTGTCATACTTCTCTTTTCCCTTCTGAGCATTCTTTTGTCTATCAGAGGTTGAGGTTTCTGACTTCTGACCACCATCAGATCTTCTCTTGGCTTCTGACTGCTTCTGATACCTCCTATCAGAAATTGCTTTCAGAGCCTGCTGCTCTACTTCCCTTTCAGAAGTTCTCTCAGTCAAACGCAACTCTTGCGCTTCTAAACTGCTCTGCAGCTCTTCAATTCTCATTGTGCTCAGATCTTTGGAATGTTCTATTGCTACCACAATGTAATCAAATTGAGGAGTAAGGGATCTCAATACTTTCTCCATGATTGTTTCTTCAGAAAGAGTTTCTCCACATGCCTTCATCTCATTAGTGATCAGAATCACTCTGGAGATGTATTCAGAAACTTTCTCATTATTCTTCATGTTGAGATTCTCATATTGCTTTCTCAAGGACTGAAGCTTCACCTTCTTCACTGATGCGTCACCACCATAACATCTCACCAGAGTGTCCCATGCAGCCTTTGCTGTTGTAGAGTCTGCAATCTTCTCAAACACGTTTACATCCACACATTGATGAATGAAGAACAATGCTTTCTGATCCTTCTTCCTTACTTCCTTCTGCGCGTTTTTCTGTTCATCGGTTGCATCTGCTGCTACTGGAACATAACCATCAGTGACAAGATCTAGAACATCTTGAGCACCAAATAGTACACGCATTTGGATCATCCAACGA